CGCCCCCCCAACCCCCAACCCCCCTAATGTTTGTTCTTTAATGGAACCATTGTGTATGATTAGACATTTAGTCCAGTGACGACTAAGAATTTGTGATTCCTCTCTTAGATGTTGCAATGAGAGGCAGTTTGAGCTACACTTAGAAAACTCTAATGGTTTGTAACCACCCCTCTCCTTTGATTAATGACAGTAGGAACTTCCTAATCATTTTAGCCTGCTTTTGTGCCTTTCCCCCAAATAAAAGATAGCCATTTCTAAATGTAAAATCCTACCTTCCGTGTTTGAACATTTACCATCATTGAAGAGATTTACAAGAGTGCGAACTCTGAAAGCTGTTTGCAAGTAGAGTTCAAAAAATCTGAGTGTCTGCGTCTCACAGTGAGAGTTCAGAAGGCCAACAAGCCTTTGGCTGTGTAAGCCCCGCTGAATTGGTGAGACATGAGGAGCACCTGTTCCCTGTACCTGACCTACCTCTGTAACACCTATTTACCCTTCCCTCTGGCACCACTGTGTATAGCCAGGGCTTCTTTTTCAACATTCCCAACTTGCCATCCATTCTTGTATCCTCCTCCTTGAAGAAAGCAAGGAGGTAGTCAACTCTGAGCCTTCATTCCTTGTCCATTTAGTCAGGAGAGTGGTGGCCTGATGAATGATGGTTGGCCCTGAAAGGGCAAGGTGGTGCCTATCAGGACTATCAGTTATAGACACTTAAAGCTCATGCTGGGTCTTGACAACCACACCACAAGGATGTGAGAGATGTGCTTAACATTGATTCCCAAGGAGTTGGTTACTTTGACTCTGAAAAGCATATATTTTTATCTATATAAGTTAATTGGTTAAACACTTTAATGTTCGAGGCATGTGTTCAGTCCTGCTGGGAAGCCAAAAACATACATGAAGCAGAGAATAATTAGTTATATTGAGCTTGTAGGGGTTAGAGTAGAAATTCTAAAAAGGAAGAAATTCATAAAACTGGGATAGTTAGAAAACTGTACCTAGAAGGAGTGGGCACTGAAGGATGCAGTGGAGGTCCTTTTAGGCTTGAGGGACAGCAGAAATAAGCTTGCTTTAGGGAGGTGATAGTGAAAAAAATCCCAACTAATAGGAGTGAGCAGGTTGTTGGGAAGGAGCTCTGCTTTGGACTGCTAATTGAAAGGTCATTGGACAGTTTTCTCAAAGATTGATAGCCTCAGGAACCTGAATTGGAATTGAGTCAACAGCCAGAATAGTGGGGCTAGAGGTAGACTGTTGAGAGAGGTTTGAAATAGTCCCTATATAATTTTTTCCTCAGTTATCCTTCTACTTTCATAAGAATGGTTTCGCACAGTATTTGTCCTTATGAGACTGAGTTATTTCACTCAATATAATGCTCTCTAGACCATTCTGTGTTATAGAATATTTTAGAAAATATTGTTCCTTACTGCTTCATGATTTCCGTTATGTGAATATACCACAATTTCTCAATTCGTTCATTTGTTGATGGGCATTTAGACTGTTTCCATTTTCTTGCTATTGTGAATAACACTACAGTGAACATAGGTATACATAACTCTGTTCATGTCTCAGTTCTAATTTCCTTGGAGTATAATCCTAGCAGTAGATTATCTCGGTCATATGAGATTTCTATGTTCAGCTTTTTGAGGAAACATCAAACTGCATCTATAGATTGTACCATTTTATAATCCTGCCAGCAGTGGATGAGGGTTCCAGTCTCTCCACATCCCCTGCAACATTTATTGCTTGCTGTCTTCTTAAACTTTGCTACTGGGGTGAGATGGTATTTCATTGTTGTTGTGATTTGCATGTCTCTGATTACCAGTGATTTTGAGCATTTCTTCCTGATCTGAATGTCTTCCTTTATGAGGAGTCTTTTGCCCGTTTTGTTATTATCAAGTCTCTTGTGGGAGTCCTATAGTACTTCGTAAACTTTCATTAAAAGACCCTTGTCTGACATGTCATTGTCAAGTATTTCTTCCCAGTCTATAGGTTATCTTTTCACTCTATTGAAAAATGTTTTTGATGCACACAAGGACTTGATTTTTTGAAGGCCCCATTTGCCAGTTTCATCTTCTCCTGGTTGTGCATTTCTGGCTATAGTTGCAAGCTTATTTATGCTGTAGGCTAGAGCTTTTAAGTTTGGTCTTATTTTGATCATTATGGTTTTGGGCTTTACCCCTAGATTTCTTCATCTGTCTTGAGTTGATTGTTGTATGTGGTGTGAAATGTGGATCCTGTTTGAGTTTTCTGCAGACAGATGTCCAGTTTTGCCAGCACCTCTTTCTGAAGTGGTGGTCATTTCTCCATTTGCTAGGTTTTGATTCCCTGAAGGAGAAGAAAGATACCACCTACTGCAGTTGCTGCAGGTTTTCCAACTTTCTGGAACACACCAGCCAGTAACTCTACCAATTACAATCTGAATAGCTACCATAGGTCCTAAACTGTGGCCAAACATTCGATTCCACCAATGGTGTCATCCTACATACTGAGTAAAATACAATACTTCGTAAGACTCATCATTACTTTTGTATTCTTGGGTTTAGAAGTTCTGGGTCACCATGATTCTGCCAGTGGGCTGTTGAGGGTGATCCCACCTGCCCTCTTTTTTCTCTCTCATGCTTTAAGTGGCTCTCTAGGCAAGTGCAGGAGTCTATGATCTCTCTTCCTAGATAATTTTTAAGCATTTTGAATATGAGTCACCACTCAAGGTTGGACATTTGGAATGGAATGGCTCGGCAATAGAGAGTCTTTGTAGATTTTGAAACGAGGAAGTGGGATGGTGAGAGTGCTATTTCAGTACAATTGGTGCCAGTGTCCAAGTTTAGTATATGGATAAGAGGCACATTTAGACATCGCGTTGCAAAGTAGCAGGGCCTGATCTGGATGGTGGTGGCCATAGATTGGAAAGGAAGGTACTTTAGAAAGTTATCGCGGAAAGAATAAGAATCCATGGGTGCTCCTAACAATCTAAGAGTGAATGATAAATGAGAGAAGAGAAGGTTGCAGGGAATGGTGGTGATGCTGGGAGTGGGAAATGGAATTTATAGGGATGAAGGTACACCAACTCGGAACATACAGACTTGGAAGTTAATAGGATTAAAATGGGAAGGTTCTGGAAATGTGTGCTTTGGGGGCTTAGGAGAGGGAATCTTAGAAAGTGATCTTCTTAGTCTCCAGGTGATGCCACAAAAGATGTAACTTCTCCAAGACCATGAATACTCAAGCAGCAGACCAAGTGGAGGTGGACACTAGCCCTTTGCTGGCAGGAACCAGTTCTCCCATATCAGGCATTTATCTGTAGTTGGGACTCAGGTTTACTGCTGGGAACAGTTGGTAAGAAAAGCTAACTAACACAGGAAGAGCATGATGAAGAGTATGATTAAGACCACAGTCTTAAGAATATACTGATTTTAGCTCTAGTGAACTAATCCATATAGCACATTGTGCTGCTGTCCCTAACTCTAGACCAGTTGGTCAAGATGAAGATCTTAGAGATATGTACCTCTCACACTTGGAAAAGGCCTGGTTCCTCCACAGCAGTCCACATACCTTGGTTCATGCCACTTAAATATGGGGCTCTTTCCTCCATTCTCTGACTTGAATTATCCGATAGAAGAATTATCCTGGAAATGAGGAGACTGATGTCCCACAGATGAGGGAAAAAAACAGCTGCTCCTCTGGGGGAAGAAGCTGGAGGAGCTGAAACAAGCAGCCCTACCCTGACGAAGCTGGCCTTCAGTCTGCAGGCAGCAGAGAGCCCTCAGCACGGTCAGGACAGTGGGAAGGGGACAGGACCTGGAGGAGCAGCCCATGTACAGTAAAAGGAGTTTGCATCAAACAGCAACAAGTCTCAGGCCCTGCCCCGGACGGCGACCCTTCCCTGTGGAATTCTCTCCTCTGACCTCTAGATCATTAATCCCAAGGCTGCCAAATGACAGTCATCCATCACGCCTCCTGACGAGCAGCCCAGCCGCTGTGAAAGGACCCTGGCCCCGCCCTCCCTCTGGTCCCCTGGTGCTCATTAGTAGCCCTTCCTGCTCAGCGCCAGGTTTCCTAATCAAGTCCCTGGCTCCGCTCGCTTCCCTTCGGGGGCCAGTGGGCGGAAGCTGCTCTGACCCTCTCTCTTAGAGAGGCCAGGGAGCGGGTGGCGTGAGGAAAGAATTGTTGAGTGGCTTTCATCCCCCTGGAGATTTGTGTCCAGCGGCCCCTTTGACATGGAAGGGCACACACGAGGAAAAACAGCCTCCATCCTGCAGCAGGGCCAATGCAGGCAAGTGTTGGGGAGAAAGCAAGCAGTGTGCAAATAAATGGAGCCAGGGTGATGCAAGTAGTATGCAGTTTGCTGCTGATAGAAAGGCTGGTAATTTGGAACTCCCCCCATGCTCCGTGGAAGAAAGGCCTGGTAATCTGATGCCATAGATCAGAGCTGGAAAACTCTATGGTCACATCCCAGTCTCCAGGACTCACAGCAGACTCCAGTGTAGCATGCACGTGAATACTGTTAGAGATGGCACTAAGTGCTCCAGGAGATGCCCAGGAGCTAGCCGTGAATGATGGACAGAACCTCCACTCTGTAGGGAGTCAAGACACTGCTTCCCGAGGAAGTGACAGCTCAGTGAAGGCAGAAGGCTTCCAAGGACTCTTAGTTGCTAAATAATCAGGAATTAATCTAGAATCATATTGCTAGCAAAAGAATGTCAGGAAAAAAATCCCAGCAATCACCTTGTGCAGCCCTCTTATGTAACAGAAGGGAGGACAGGTCAAGAGAAGTTGAATGTTTGGTCCAAGCTTGCACAGTATGTGCTACCCATTCTCATCCCCAAAAGAATTGCCGGTTGGATAGTTTTTCAGATTTGTGGACACTGGAATCAAATTGAAATTGTACTTATAAGCAGATGCATGAATATTATTTTCAATTCAGCAGAAAGTATGTCGGCACAGATGTCTTCTGTCTCTGCTTGGTGATAATTCAACCCTCAGTTTCTGTCTTTGGACAATCACAGGGACCCCCATCAACCGAATACCCATCATGGCCAAGCAGATTCTGGACCTGTACATGCTGTACAAGCTGGTGACAGAGAAGGGGGGCCTGGTGGAGATCATCAATAAGAAGATCTGGAGGGAGATCACCAAAGGCCTGAACCTGCCCACGTCCATTACCAGCGCAGCCTTCACCCTCAGGACGCAGTAAGTGGCCAGGGCCTGGGGGCAGGGAAGCTGGGCCCGGAGGAATGCGAAAGTTTTAACCCAGAACTAAATAAAGAGTGCCACTGTCCAGGTAGCAAGATGAATGGAATTCCTGAGGGGATTGCCTGGAGCTTTCTGAGGTGACTCCTCAATAAACCTACATAACGAGTGCTTCCATTTACCAAGAGTCTCCTGTCGGATAATACTTTACCATATTGTGTCATTTAAACTATCAGTCTCATAAAGCAGATGTTATCCCCATTTTCCATATTAAAGAACTCTGTCTCAGAGGCTCCACCATTTGGCCAAAGCCGTCCCAGCCCATGGTGGAGCAGAGAGTCGTGCTCCAGCTCTGCCTCTGGCATCCCCCCTCTAGGACACCTTCTCCAAACAGCACCTCCTAAACCCGGCCCTGCTTACCTGACCTCACATTCCTTCTCAAGTGATGTTGTCTACCTAGACAAAAGCAGACAAGCGCAGGCCCCAGTGGGATTGGTAACCTATATTTATATCCATTTGAGCTCATTCCAAAGCTGATACAAGCAGTAAAACCAGCAGTAGCGGTGGAGAATGAAGGACTGAAGGAACTCTGTTTTTTAAGAATGCACTGAAAGTTGCTGTGTGAAGGACATGGAATGAGCAGCTGACATATCTGTTGGACAGCCTGCTGTGGCCCCCATGAAAAATTGTATTTATTAAAAGTAGAACAAAAGCTGAGGACAGAATTATAACCAGAATATCAACCTACATTTCAGCCTTCCCTCAGGGCTCTTGGGTGGGAAATTGCTTCTTGGGGCATCTGACACTAGAAAGACAGCATTTCCAGGTCCCACGTACAGTGAGAGGCATAGCTCCCTTCTGACCAGGCTAACTCAGAAAGATTAAGAGAACCAGGAGCCAGGAGGAATTGCAGATAATGGGCGTGATTTCTCCCAGGTCACTGAAGAGGGGGAATGCACCAAAACAAGCATGAAAGCATTTGTTGTTGTTGTTAAGTGCCTTTGAGTCATAGGTAACTCATAGCAACCCTATGAACGAAATCCTCAACACTTGTGTGACTTTCATCCTTTCTCCAGGTTTATAGGGTTTCCAGAGGCAAGCTATTACAAAAGTGGATGCCACTCCTGCTTCCAAGCTTGTTTTAATCGGGGAGCTCCACCAAACACTGTCCACCATGGGTAACCATTATCGCATTTAACACATCAGTGTCACAGTGTTCAGCTTCACAGCAACCACAAGTTACCTCTGTATGGCAAGTGGACACACCAGGGCTATACGACCTAGAAGAATGTTTGACCAAAAAATGTCAGGCTTGGCCTGACATTTCTGTATTTTACCATTCTGGCACACCCAAATGCTGGCAAACTCTAGGCCAGAGACCCGCAGTCTGCTGGCAAGTCTGCTCTGTGCCGACACCCACTTGGGGCAGAAAGTAAGCCACAAGCATCCGGAGTGCTCCATACCTGCCTCGCCTCAAGAAGCCAGAGGCCGTATTAGATGCTACTTATTTCCCTTAAGGAACCCATCCCCATGACCCTCGGGTCCTTCTGACTCATGGTGACCTTCCAGCAGGTTTCCATTCTTTTACCACAGGAGACTGACATTCTTTCCCCTGCACAAAAGCTGGTGGACTCGAACCGCTGGCCTTTTGGTTAGCATTCTTACTTGTTACGCACTACGCCACCAGGGACACCATGCTGAGTTCTTCCTGACAGGTGGCTTCCAGCGATCCAGCGAGGTCGTTTGATTTCTGGTGTCAGGTACTGGATTATTCTTGCTTCCTTTTTTCCTTTCAGGTACATGAAGTATCTCTACGCCTATGAATGTGAGAAAAAAGCCTTGAGCTCCCCGGCCGAGCTGCAGGCAGCCATTGACGGCAATCGGAGGGAAGGCCGCAGGCCCAGCTACAGCTCCTCCCTCTTCGGCTACCCATCCACCGCTGCTTCTACTGCAGCCACTGGGGCGCCTGCCCTCCTCTCCCCACCCAAGATCCGCTTCCCCATCCTCGGCCTTGGTGCCAGCAGTGGCAGCAGTGCCAGTAACCCTCGGATACCCCCACCAGCCACTCTCAGGAAAGGTCAGCAGGGGCGCTAGGGGAGGAGGGCAGGAAGGACACTTGTACGCCAAGTCTCTTTATGCCCTTGGTTGGGTGGGAGAGTAGATTGATCTGGCTCTGGTCCCTCCCAGGTGATGGAATCCCACTGACAACAGTGCCTGTACCAAATCGCTTGGCCGTGCCTGTGACCTTGGCAAGCCAGCAGGCCAGTACCCGGACGGCCACACTGGAGCAGCTGCGGGAGCGGCTCGAGGCAGGGGAGCCTCCTGAGAAGAAGGGATCGAGGCTGTCAGAAGAGGAGCAGCGCCTGGTGCAGCAGACTTTCCAGCGTAACTTTTTCAACATGGCGAGGCAGCTCCCTATGAAGATCCGGATCAACGGCAGAGGTGAGCACCAGGCTCCGTGCGTGAACTGCCCTTTCTGAGGGGTGTCAGACCCCAGCTCCACAGGCCCACTCTTCCGCTCTGTGACTGGTGCAGAGTGGTAAGACTGACCTGGAAGATTCCTCCTCCTGATTTATAAGCAGTCTGTCTGCTTCTCCTCTTGAGAGGCCCCCAGAATGATCTGGAGGCCAGAAGAGAGCCCCCGAGGGCCTTGGTGGGCACCGAGCTCTCCGTTCCAAACTGGGGTCTTTTTCTCGGGGACAAACAGTTGCCTCAGGCATTGCCCTGTTTTCTAGCAAAAAAGGAAATGCAGTTATTCAAGGAGGAGGAGGGGCTGGAGACCTCTGAGAATAGCTGCTCATTGTCACTTCCACCAACCTTTTGATGTGTCTTAAGTTGAAATTAAATTAGAGGGCTCAGCCTTCACCCCAGCACCTCACCGGATGAAGGCAAGAGCAGGGCACACCCCTCATCCTGAGCCTCACCAGGGGCCAGAGCTGCTTCGGGTAGGCTGATGGAACAGCCGCAGCCTCCCATCAGTGTGTGTACTGCACGCTCTGGAATAGCGGGCAAGGAGGAAATTCAAGTTTGGCAGCATTATGGATGTCCTTCCCCTCCACATTTTTGTGCTGTCTCACCTTCTCTTCTGAAGCACACATTCTTTTCTCCCTTGTTTCTCTCCCCCCTTTTCTTGCCCTCATAACACATTTCTTGCTGTTCTTTTCTCTTGACTATTTCAGAACAGACAGGAATTGGCATGTGTTGGGAAGAAATCTGGGGTGAAGGGAGATGGGGCATATTCCTTGGCACCCCTCTGTGTCCCCTTCCCTCCTCCCCACGTGAAGAGACTGGAGCCACTCAGAACTGGGCTCCTTCTCCATTACCTGTTCATGGGTGATGCCCTTGGTCTGTACAGAGCAGGGGCAGGTGGGAAAGGCAGCTGAGCTGAAAGAATTGTTGGCTCTCTGTGTGATGAAAACAATAGGGCCTTGGGCGATCCAGGGAAGGTCCTGCCTGCAGCCTTCCAAGAACAACAGGTACACAGGATGAGAGGGAGGGCCAGGGGCTTGGGAGATAGACCCCTGTCCTGGAGGAGCTCACAGCCCCGTTAAGAGATAGTTGATCACTGGGAGGAACAGGCAGAGGATTCCTCCAATGCGAAGACAGACTCTTGTAACCTCTGGTTTCCAGAGCCTGACTGATAGTGTGTGTTCAGTGAAAGTCTGCTGAGTTACGGTCTAAGCGTTAGTGTGCAGTGGTCAGGCCCAGGTCATCCTCCTTGCTGTGTGCTGCCCTCTTGCTCTGAGAGCAGAGGACTTGGGGAATGAACTGGCTCAGCAGGGAAAGCCAACTGTGGCACATTGGCATGCCTGCGTTGTCTTGCCAGACCATGTGGTGCTTTCTAACAATGTGAGGCCTTGCCCTGGAGTGACCAGGCAGGGAAAGTGGAGTGAGTTTGAGAGGACTACAGAAGGGCAGTGGAATGTTTGACCAGACCTGGGTTCTCCCTGTCCCCAGGAGAAGACAGATCAGAGGCCTCAGCTGCAGCCCTGAACTTGACCACAAGCAGCATTGGGAGCATCAACATGTCTGTGGACATTGACGGCACCACCTACACAGGTACAGCTCTTGAGGGTCTTGGGGAGGCCCAGCCTCAGTGGCCAGGCCCTGCTGTGTGACCCTCCCAGAGGGCTTGCCTTAACTTAAGCCCAGCAATTCCATAGGCAGTTCTGGTTATCTGGACCAGGGGGGTTTTAACAGGGATGGCAGATCCCCTCACTTCTGGAGGAAAGCTGGAAGCCCTTTTTCTGGTCCAGTTAGGCCAATGGCTGGTTAATTAATTGAAAGAGTCCTTTAATGTGAGGAATTGGTAATCAGTGTTAATGTGTTCTTAAACATCATGTTCTACTCTATGTCCATGTCCCTCACTCATGGGTCTCCTGAGACAGAGCTAGACCATTTCCTTGATTGAGGCTAACTATTCTCTTTCTTCCATAAAACACACCTGTATCACTACGTCATCTGTTGCTTCTCTTTAAAACAAACTAAGGACTGAGACATAGGCAAAGCAGTCTGAACACAACAGAATTGTCCCAAAGTCTTGATTCCTTTTTGCGGGTCAGCATGAGCTTGGGACCACGCCAGCTGACTTGTAAAGCACAGCTTGGCGAGCAGGATCCCAGGGCCCCTGGCTCAGTGGGGAGCAGCCTCCTGCCACGGTGCTTGGAGAGTGTGTCCATGGAGGTGGCCGGAGTCTTCAACTGTGGCTTCATCAAAGCTGAGAGCATTTCCTCTCACCCCTGTCTTGAATTTTTATTCGAGCTAAGTCCCTGCAGGAGGCCCTGGGTGGTGCACATGATTAAGCACTGATCTATAAGCAAAAAATTGTGGTTTGAGTCTACCCAAAGGTATCTTGGGAATAAGTAAGGCCTGGCAACTTGCTTCCGAAATACTTCAGCCTTGGAAACCCAATTCTGCTCTTCACACACAGGGTCACTGTGAGTCAGAATTTACTCAGCAGCAACTAAAAACAACAGCTAAGTCCCCTGAAAGCCACCCTCCAGACCTCATGAGACTTCCTCATGCCCAGGATCTGCCTTGGGAGGGGGTAAGCGGGCAGAGTTCCTGAAGCAGCTTCCAGAGAAGCGATAGTGTTATGTTGACATACAGACATCTAGATAGTGGAGCCTGTCTGCAGTCTGCCTGAGAAAGGCAGAAAGGATCCCCCCTCTCAGAGCGGGGCAAGGTCAGGAGAGGGTGAAAGTCCCCCTGAAGAGGGGAGAGCCGGCCCCCTCCCTTCAGCTCATCCCGTCCTCTGGTCAGTGGGCTCGCAGGAGTCCTTCCTGACATCACCCTCTTCCTTTCACTGTAGCTTCCTCATCCCTGGACCTCCCGACCTCAGAGGGTCATGCTCCTCATGCTCCTCCTCGGCTTTAAACTTCTAGGGGCTCCTCAACCCCCATTAGATCAAACCTGCCCAACAGGCTTGCAAGTTCTCCCCAGCTCCCCAGCCTCATCTGCTTATGCCCCACCCTCATTATTCATTACACTGTGGTCACACCAGCCCCCACGTCAGCCTCCACACCTTTGCCAGCTCTCTTCTGGTGTCTGTGTTCCTTGGATTTCTCTATCCATACACCATGCTCTCTTTTCCCTCATTTACCCACTTTTCCTCCCCCACAAGATACCCTCTCCTCTAGAACCTCTCCAGGCCAACTTTCCCATGCCTTTCAGAACTTTTTCTGTGTTCCCCCTGCACTCCAGGGCTAGCTTGTCAGACACTGCAACAGTCACTCTGCACACCCCTCCCCACTGGCTGGGCTGTAAGCCTCTAAAAGCAGAACCGTGTCTGGGGGCTCTCCACTTGGCACCTGGCCAGACAGAGAGCTCAGCCCTGCGTCCAGTGAAGGGGCAGGGTGCCTGTGACGTGAGCTGCATCTGCCCCTCTGCCCTGCTGGCCCACACTTGCATCTCCCCCACCCCTCTCTAGGTGTGCTCTTTGCCCAGAAACCTGTGGTCCATCTCATCGCGGGATCTGCCCCCCAGAGCATCGGCAGCAGCGCCAGCAGCAGCAGTAGTTCTCACTGCTCACCCAGTCCTACCTCATCCCGGGGCACCCCCAGCGCAGAGCCCTCCACCAGCTGGTCCCTCTGACGAGCAGACCCAGCCCCCCACTCCCACTTTCCTGTTGAGAGTGATGGACGTTGATGCACAGAATTTACCTCATCTCACGGAGCCCGTGTCCAGCACCACTTGGCCAGGCACTGAGGGTTTGTCCAGGCTCCATTCAGGTCCTGCTGTACTCTGGGGGCAGGGAGAGGCTGGAGGGGCAGAACAGGGCAGCGTTGTCCAATCAGGAATTGTCCTGGAGGACTGGGCCTGGGATCTGTAGGTGGCCAGCTTCCTCCAGGACTCTCAGGTCACCTCCCATCCTGGGCACAGTGTATCGACAATCTGTAAGCCGACACAGGGCTGGAGGCCCTCTACGACCCTTCCCCTTAATTTATTTCCTTTCCTGCCTTTTGCCATGGCCCCAGGGTCACTGGTTTCTTCTTTGCTCAGTTCCCCCCACTTTTAAGTCTCATGTGGGCTGACAGGAGCCAGGAGTCTGCAATCATGGCTCTTCTCTGCTGAGCATGGGAGGGGTGCTCCTAGCCCACCTGCCCACTGGGAGTAGAGAGGGGATCCCTCATATCTAAGTTTTGAACTGTCCTCAGGACCCTATATCTCCCTTTTCATGGTCACGAGGAGGGCAAACGAGGGCAGTCTCAGGTCCCAGTCTACAGCCCGGGCCTGGCACCCGCCTTACACAGACCCTTCACTGAACCTCTCCCACCTCCCACTCCTCTCTCACCCCTGTTGGCCATCTCTCCCAGTGGCAGTTCCCTTGTCCCTCGGACCATCCTTCTCATGGGACCATCTAAGTCCCTTCCCCAAGCCTGCTGATGTCAGGTTCATTGAAATACCTCAGATTTGTAATTGTTGATGTTTGAATTTTCAGGAAGTATTTGCATCTCTGAAATCTTTTTATATGTGTTTTGCTGACTTTGTTTGTTTTTTTTTTTTAATTTTTAAAGTTTTTATTGTTATTGATGTTGTAGCACCAAAGAATTGAGAGCAGGTCACCCCCAAAGCCAAACAAACGTTTTGGTTCCCCAGCCCCTAAGACCCCTGCGAGGAGGCGGGGGTGGCAGGCAGGAGGGATGACTCAGGGATTACAGAGATGGGGAGGAAGGCGGGGTGAGGAGTCCACGCTCTTGCCAGTTGGGGCCTGAAATTACCACTTATGAAGTCGTTCCTCGACCTGTTCCTGCCAGAGCTGGACTCAATCTGGACTCCTGCCCTGGCTCCTCCGTGCTGGGTCTCCCCTCAGCATTCCCACCTCAGGACATAGATAGACTGTAGTGGCCTAGGCCTTTGCTGACCTTGTCCGAGGCCCAGAGAACAGGGCGGTGCTAGAGCTCTCGCTCCTCTCTTGGACTCATGGGGTGAGTGACTCTTTTGTTCTGAAGAAAGGTGATTTCCTGCACAGGTTCACCTCTCGCCATCCAGGCCCTGAGGCGTCCAGTGGAGCGCCCTCTGCCATGACATTGGAGGGCTGTGGTAGTGATAGACCACACGGCACGAGCCAGTGGCGCAGCTGACATTTAAACCTGTCTAGTAAGGGAGGAAAATCAAAAGCTTGAGCACAAAACACATACCTCAGCCTGTTAAGTGGCGTGGGCTGCCTATTCTCTCCCTTCCCAGATGCTTCAGACTCAGGCACATCACTCACTGCCCCGTGCACAGGGGCAGAAGACCTCCACGGGCAGGTGCAGGATTTGGGCAGGCGAGGGCACTGGGGGCCAGGTGGGGCCCGGCTGGCTGACCCTGGTCCACTGGAAGGTGTCTCACACATTGGGCCATTGCATCTCTCTCAGGGCTTTGGTCATGAAGGATGGACTCTTCTCACCTAGAGGACACAGGGACCATGTACTGTCCCCCTGGCCATTGGGTCCCTGTCCTTCCTCCAGACAGCTTCCCCAGCCTCACCCTCTGAGGGAACCCTTGCTGCCCTGAAGCAGTCCTAGCCGGAAGACCCCATTGTAGGCATGCAGCTAGGGCCACCTTGTCCTTCCCACTCACCCCCGCCCCCACCCCATCATATATACATTTTAACCAGGAAAATGTGATAGCACATGGGTAGCCTAGGCAGTGGAGAAATACCTCAGATGTCTTCTTGCAGCAAGTGTCTGTATATGTTGTGGTTATTTTCTAACTTACATGTTCTCGAATGTTTATATTTCAATAAACCTCTACCTCTTCACATAAGCAGGTCTCTCTCGGTTGCTTGGAGTGAGTCTTCTATTGATGCTAATGAGAGAGGGACTCCTTTGAAATAAAGAGGAACTGGCAGAACAGTTCCTGGTTCCCACATTTTCCAGAACCTTCTCCCTTCACTGCTTCCCCATTCTTTCCCCAGAGTGCACTCTGATACCGAGCACATCTTTGTTATTAACAGAAGACTCGAGCATTGCCTTGTTACCAGAACTGACTCCAGTGGCGTCACATGTTCTTACCTGTCCTGACAATACTAAGGGGATCCTTTCTTCCCTTTAGTGAAGTCTTTTTGAGTTCCTGCTATGTCTGGCACTAAGAAGGACTGATGGTCCCTCCACCTAGGGAACTCACAGTCATTATCTAGACAAAACTTACTGCAAATACGGTTTACTGAAGCTCTGAAGGCCCAGGCTACCATGGACAGTTAGAAGCTGGAGCAATTCTCAGCATCACTGGCAGTCTTCCCAGAGATGGTAACATTTAAGCTGAAAGAATCAGTTTGCAAAATGAGCAAGTGATTGTAGAGTCCCTTCAGAGGGACTGATGACTGTGGAAACACAGTAGGATCAAAGGGCCTGGCATGGAGAACTGTGATCAGTGCCAGGATTGGTAGAGTGGGGATGGTTAGGGCCAGAGAGAATGGCAGCCCTCAGCATCAGGGCACTGCCAACATGTTTTAACCAGGGCATTGGCTTAAAGAGGGGCTGGAGCCCCTTAGGACACCTCCACCAGAGGTGAGCTTAGACCTAGAGTTCTCAGCCTGTTTCTCTGCCATGTACACACTCCCTTGGATACAACCTGTGTGTTGGAAAAACTAAAAGAATGTTCAGAGAGGTAAACCACTGGGTAACTTTGTACCTGCCCACCAACAATAACATCTCACCCGGGGGAGATATAAACTCATTCCTAGTCAGCTGGGCTAGCATCGCACTGTAATCCACAGAGGCAGGCTGTCCTGTCCTGTCACCACCCTTTTCTCTGCCCTGTGGAAATACTGGAGAGTAAGAGTGGTTTTAGAATAATTCTGAGCCTCTCATCATTTTTTGAAATCTTTTGGAGGTTTTTTTAATCTTCTAAATTGTTTAAAAGAAATAACAACCATTCAGTGTCTTAATTAACCAATTAATTGTTAGTTTCCCATCTCGCAACTTCCTAACATATTAGGGACTTCTACATAGAGGTCAAGACCTCAGGTCTCATATGGGAGAGAGGAGAGGATGAAGAGGGACCAGGATCAAAAAACATAAGATGGAAGTGCTCAGTGACCGTAAGGGAGGGAGGACAGAGTGGGGCTGCTGAGCGCAAAGTGGCAGCTGATCCATGTGAAGACTCTGGGGACCAAGGCACCCAGCTCCTGAAATTCCTTCTCTTCCAGGTAACAGAAAATAGAGGAGAATATCTCCAAGAATTTGACATTGAGATTTCACAAACTTGACTCCAGAAAAGTTCACCAGAAAGGAATTAAAACTGGAAGGCAGTATTTGAAATAAAAACTGGGAAAAGTAATAGTAGCCAGAATGTCATTTTTAATTCTGTATTAATTTGTAAAGGGGGGTGGAAGAGAACGACAAAGAGTTGGGTAAAAGGGACAAATTCTTGAACTAGCATTTTTTAAAAAATTATTATTTTGTGTGTATGTACTGTCAGATCTGACTGGTACAAGAGGAGATTGTGCCTCCTTCTCCAGCAGAGCATCTGGTGGATTCGAACTGTATACCTCTGGGATTGCAGTGCAGCTTCTTGCCCCTAGGCCACCAAAGCTCCTGAACTAGCATTTTTTTTAAAGAAGAAAGACAAATTACCTCATTGGTGGGGAAACCCACAAGGACCCACTTCACACTATCAGTTTGGAATGCATTTTAAAAGTTGTACAATACATGTTTAGGTGAGGATAGGTACATTTGTGTATCACTGCAGGAGCAGAAATTGATCAAACCAATTTGTAAAAACATTTTGGGATTACTTAGTAAAACTAAGCAGGCACAGAGTACCTGTTGTATACCTCAAGCTGATTCAAACTCAAGAGTAACCCCATGGACAGAGCATTACTGCCCCATAGGGTTTCCTAGGCAGAGCTGCTGGCTGATGGATTCAAATACTGATCTTTTTGTTAACAGTTAAGGCTTTAATCATTGTGCCACAAGGATACAGGAGCGCTGTTGTTGTTGTTGTTAGGTGCCATTAAGTCAACAACCACTCACAGCAGCTCTGAAAGACGGGCTTGAACTTGGCCCTGCACTGCACCATCCTTGTCATCTCTGATATGCTGGGGTCAGTTGTTGAAGTGTTAGTCCCTCTTGTTAAAGGTCATCTTCTCTCTTTCTGACTCTTCACTTTTCCCACAGTATGTGGGATGAAATAACACCATCCTTACCTCTACGGAGTATCCTGGTTGTACTTTCTCCAGGACAGATGAGATGACTGAGGTACAGAAGCTAAAGAGCCCAAGACTTCACAACTGAAGAGCAGGGATTCTCATGTAGGAACTGCAGCACCCAGCGTTGGTGCTTTACAAATGCTAAGTGCTCTTACGTATTAAAGCATTTAACTCAATCCTAGGAATAATTGTTTTTGTTGATATCACAGATGAAGTAATTGAAGAAAGGTTGGGGAACTTGCTTGAGATGGATGACACGTGAGTGCAAGATTGGGATTAGTCTCCAGAACTCCTGTCTTTAACCCTCCTTACAGTAAATGGAAGGAGGGGCCCAGAGCAGTGCCCAGAGGAAGGTAGAGGATTGACAGGGTTTCTGATTTTACCCCGTCTCTGCTCTACCATCCTGAGCCCAGCCACTGGGTCTTAAGGCTGCTGCCTCCAGCTCTCCCCCCAGATC